CCGCGCCACGCGGAAGAGCCGCGACCCCGCCGCCGCGCCCTCCGTCTCGTGTCCGCCTTCCGCTGATCGCGAGATTCGGAGTTCGCACGGGGTAGCTGCGCACACGACCGCCGTTGAAACACGCGAAACACATGGGAAGGGACACATTGCGCGTGCGCAGTGCGTATTTCGCTGTTCTGGAAACATCCGGTAACTCGAGATTGAAGCCCCGCTGGTGGGAGATACCTGGTTGTTGGAAAACGCCGCTATCCAACAGGTGGTCTCGCAATACAGCGAGGGAAGATCGCTGACACCTCCCGGGGGAAAGCATGCACTACGCTTACGGCATGTATTACCTTAGAAATTGACACGCTCGGAACCACAAATCAAAAATTGGGAATTGATCGACCGGAATTTGTTCTCCCTGCGTTGGTGATATGTTTACAGGTTTTCTCCTGTGCTTTCTTATACGAAATGTGAATTTAATGTTTTTTTTTGTTTGGTGGCTGCCTGACGAAAAGCTACGAGGTCGATGTTTCTGAGTGCAGCCACTTCCCTTCACCGTCGGTGACGTAAGGCGGGTGCATAGATCTCTCGTACAACTCTACCTCTTGTGCTACTAGCTAGTAGGGATGCAGCATCAATTTCAATGTTTTTTAACATCCAAGATTTCATAAAATCATCGATGTTTTTTACATAGATAATTTGAAGTTGACGTTTGTTTAACTTCGATATTTTGTGTTTGATAATTTTACATGTTTGTCGTTTTATTTTTGAGTGAAAATATACCATCATAATGAAAGCTTTGTTTCGATGATTTTGAGTCTATGTTTTACTAAAGTCGATATTTTAGTTCTGAACATCGATGTTTAGGAACATCAATGTTTTGTTGGTAAAGTCGCATTCCTACTCGCTAATGGCAGTAAAGGACATGGAACTCGCGGAAATGATGACTATTTCGAGATGTTTCAGTGCTGACCGAGCACTGTTGCATTGAGAAAAGTATATTTAGTTGCTGTTTAAATTGCTCATGTTAAAATTTAATGTAAATTATTTTTCTACACGATTTGATGCATTTCCCCATAAAATACTGCAAAGCAATATTGATTACTGCAAGTTACATGATTTAACATGGAAGCTTGAAGAAATTTTGTGTGTTTTGCTAAACCAAGTTCTTCTTCAACAATGGTATTTCAAAACTAATGTGTGTTGTGAATCTAATCAATTTTCTCCTTAATCGTCTAAATAAGGGTAGGAAAATTGCGCCGGGAAAATTGCAATTTTTTAAGAAAATTTAAAAATTCAAAAAAGTTTGTTTTAAAAAAATGGTCTGTATACGTTGATAAGAGCTCTCAAAATGGTTTGGCCTCAAGGTGACAACTCGGATCTATCCAAGTAGAGTTCGGAAATGATTTTTTGCGAGGGTCAATTGCACCACTTAGTGATATCTTAATACATAAAATTACACTTTTGTCCGATTCCCAAAAGATCTTCATCAACTTTCTAGCTATACATTCTCAAGAAAGTACGGAATTATAGAGGGAACAAAATGACTGGTGAGTCATGGCCGAACTGCTTGTTGCGTCATGGCAATGTCTTATAGTAATCATCGAAGGGGCTTCGCAAATCTGGCGACCTCTTTCCCAGTTCTCGAGATACAGCTGATGCGGCTACGAGCAAAAGAACGTTGACAAGCGAAAAGGTTGACGATTTTGCAATGTTTCAGAGGCCAAAGTGAAGATGGTGAGATAAAGTAACCTTTCGGGGTTATGTTATTGACGACTACTATGATTCCGGTTTTTCCATCCTAAATACGGAGTGGGTTTGTGTTTCATGCTTAATGCCAGTAGGCCAAAATACTGCATGGTAAGTCACAGTCCTCTTCATTAATGTTCACGGACTACATGAAAATAAAGTCTTGGTAAATTTTTCAATGACTGTTTTTGTTGGCTTACGTCAGGCAAGTGCTTCACACATACATGTCCAGAATATATTATCCAAAGAATGGAAACAATTGACGGTCCCAAATCTTAATAACTCTATGTTCAAATACAATTCCTAGTGGATTAAGTGTATCAAATGATTTATAATTTTGATTAGAGAGCAAAAATATAGAAATAAGTGATCTTACCTGCCTGCCTTAGGTAAAAATTTTACGTAATGTATACGAAGAAATGGTAAAGTTGTAGTTTTAATAACTTTTGGATTGCACCATCGCATGGGACTCTTTTCTTTGGCAGCTATCATTTAACCAGTCTTCAACCTCAGCTGTATTCTGTTTGGATTCAATCTCTCGTTTTTTTAATTGCAAAATGACTTCAATAATTGTTAATTGTGCGTATTATTTCCTGAATTAATTCATGAATAATTTTTTACGTTGAAATTTCAATATTATTGTTATTATATTTCATTATTATATTGCTAATTAGAGTTGATTGTTAAAGCGAACAAGTTAATGGATGTATAATTGTGGGGCTCAGAAGAAAACGTAGCTAAGTGTCATTTGGGGCAAAAGAATTTAGATGCTTATTGAGGCACTAGATATTAAATACTGTTAGAGGAAAAAAAGAATCAAAGTCACGTCTCTTACGAATGCTGACTTCTGTTGTCTGAAAGTGTTGAACTGCTTTGAAGCTTTGTTGTCTCGGTTGGAGGGAAGGTAGTCTAGGTGGGAGTGTTTTATTGTCGTGACTACTAGAACACGCATTATTTCTGGCATAATGAATGAAAATCAGATAACTATCTATTTAGGTCTGTCACACGAGCGTTGTGTTGACACGCGTTAAGTAACGCGCTTCGTAGATTAACACTGTATCTTATGCAAAACGGCACACGAGCGCTCTTGGCCGTTCGGCATAAGATAGTCCGTTCCGTGTCACTGCAACGCTCGAGTAACACAGGCCTTACTGGAGAATTGTGGCATTACACACAGGAATGTATTAGTACGACTTGTGATGATTGCAAGAACAGTTTCTGTTACTGAATCTGTTACTGAAGATGGTAGCGATGATGAAGTGATTAGTGAGTATGATGAAGATGAATAATTGGTTGGATAATGAGTTTTCATTATCCTACCAATTTCTTGGTATCCTTATATTACTTAATATTAAAAATACTTGGAAACGAAGTCTTACTATTAATAATATATCTGAATTATGCAGAATCTAAATTATACTGAAAGCAAACAGTATTTTCTTACCGAAACAACACTATTAATATCCATTTTGTTCTTACTTTGACTAATTTAACTCAGTAATATTCGAGAAATATTGATGTTGAATATTAGTTTGTCACTTGGACTACTTTTCCTCTTACGCTATTCAATGCAAAGTAGTCTATTAAATTTAAAATTGAGATATTTTAAACTTTGCAAAAGACTGAAAAAATATTAGTACATATATGACAAAGAAAAGACCCTACAAATGTAATGCGATAGACAATTACAATAAAGTTAATAGAATTTTGTATTTCAGGGTTAACTTAGAATGCAAATATCTCAGCAAATGAAGAATGTCACTTAGCCTCGATTTCCTCTGAGCCCCACAATTATAATAATCAATATTAATACTAGTAATGATGTTCGGGACGTGAGTGCTGAGTTCAACATGTCCAAAACTGCACCTCCCAAAAATATTGTTCTAACAGTTTCTTCGCAGCAACTTCATTCCTAGATACTGAGCTACTGATTTGTAAATGTAGATCTTTACGTCAGTATCGAATGTGCAGATCGTAAAGCACTATAACGAAAGCAATATTATTTTGAGATTCAGTGCACGCACGAGCTCAAATGCAATGTTATCATAGAACTACATCGAAAAAATTCCACATGTTAAGAATTTCTGGGTGTAATTACGTCACTTCAATCATGAATGCCACACGTTACGTGATTACGATTATGAAATCAGTTCTCAACTCGGTTAGCTGAGTGAGTTAAACCTCCAAATTCCCCCGTCGCCTCATTTCGTTGGTGAGCTGCTGTACTCGATCAAGCGCTGTGGATGGAGAATGTGACATTATGGGAATTTGGAGTTATCAGCCATTATCATTGTCATAGAACAAAAAGTTGTACAAAATGCTTTTTACCTTCAAACGATAGAGACCATTTGTATACTTCTCACGTACATCAATTATTTCCTTTTACGATAATCAAAGCACAATCTCTACACTAAAAGAAGTACCTCCGTTATTAACAGCACAAGCATTTTTTCATGTTACAGATGCCACTGTATATGGGAGACCAATATTTGGACCAATATTTAAAGTAAAAGTGGCCATATTTGGGTTTAAGCTCGTATCACCAGTTTTACTCGTATGATCCACTCAGAAGTCATTTGCAGAAGCCCAAGATGCGGCCATACGCCCGTGGGGTACAAGCTCACCTGTCCGCTTCGCGGCCACAGACAGGTTCATCAAGAAAGCGTTGTAATTAGCTTGTTGTAAATGAGGTGAAACTTTTACTTAACACACAAATTGAAGAGCTTACTTCCAAAGTGGCATAGCTCCATTTTTGTATCTTTTCTGGTTTAATGTACTATCATGTCTCTTAAATCACTTCTCCATCATGCTGCCAAATTTTGTTCTACACTTTGGCTAGCGGAGTTCTCTCTAAGCAGACATTTATCACACGCGGGTCACCGCCTCAGCCGGGACAAGCTCTAAGCTGGTGGCACGTGTGGTAGAGTAGTGCATTTACGTGTAAGGGTGTGTAAGTAAGGGGCGAGGAAAGGACAGGCAAGAGGAAAGAATGACAACGTTATGTCCGTGGTTTGTTTGTTAGTGTACTACTCCGGTGTTCGCCTGATGTTGATCGGAGGAAGTATGGAAAACTACTGATCAGAACATTCGGTCGCTAGAAATTTTTTTCAGACAGCGGCAGGGAAGTCATAGGGTTCGAATCCACACGGTGGCAGGATTTTCGTCTAGCTTTTCAGCTACGTCGTATTCATCCACTGTCTGGAGGAGAATTCTAGCGGCCGGCTGCTATGATCGGTATTTTTTCGTAGTTTCTCCGATCAACACTAGGTGAGTGCCTGAGCAGAACCCTAACAAACTGACCACGATCTTTTCTTCCTCTTGCGCGCGATCATTTCTTCCTCTTGCTTGTGCTATTATCACCCCTCACACATTCAGTTACATGCCCTACGGTACCACACATGTCGAGAGTTTAGAGCGTGTCCCAGCTCGACCGGTGCCACGCTGGTGGGAGATACCTGGTTGGGAAAATCTCCGCAAGCTGAATCTCGCCAGTCAGCGAGGGAAGATCTCCACCACATCCCGCGATAGAAACATACGCTTACGGGACTAATGACCTTAGCAGTTGATGCACCCACAATTACAGAACAATCAATAAATATATCAATTGAAAACGTACACCACATTTACTAGCGTATGTAGAAAGAAGTTCCCGAATTGGATGCTCGGGAATTCTACCATTGTGTAACCCACCCGACAATCGTAGGCCCTCGTACGGGATTGTAACGGGGTACAATAATAATAATAATAATAATAATAATAATAATAATAATAATAATAATAACAATAATAATAAATAAATAATAATAATTACATTTACGAGACTAATGACCTCAGCAGTTGACGCGCCTGCCGGAATCACTAATCAATCAATCACTCAATCAATCGAGAGCATGCCCTTACTAAAGGTAGGGGAGCTTAGCAGTTGAGTCAGCAATGAAAGTGCGGGGTACTCACGCTGGCTGCACTTCTGCGGCACGGGCAGCGAGAGGAAGCGGCCGGGGCGGTTGGCGCCGTTGGGGCGCGCCTCGCTGATGGCCGGCGACGCGGCGGCGGCGCGCAGCGCGCCCAGCGCGGCCAGCACGCGCAGCAGCCACGCGCCCACTGCGCCCTGCACCTGCATCTGCGCACCGAGCACGACCCCGTCACTCACACACACACACACAACTCTACCATACGCGCGGGCTGCAATGCGCATTATGGGATTTTACACAGAATGTTTTACACAGGGTTTGCAGAATGGCAAAATACGCCATAAAATGTGCAGCAAGATGGTAAATTATGCATCAAGGGGAGAAATGCATTACTTTTCCCATGGGTAATTGTAGACCGGGGGTTCAATTATACCGAGGGAAATTTTTTTTTCTAGTGGTGTATATGCTATTTTTTCCACGACCATAATAGTTTAAAATTCGGGATACATGTTACCAAGGAAAACGTAGAAACATATGAAAACGTAGGCCGAGCTGCGTATGACTTACAGAGTTATAGTCTAGTTGAGCATGCAACTAACGTTAATTTCTGTACGTGAGCGCGGTTGCAGAAGGCGATGGTCCCCAAATCTCGCGAAACGAGTCTCTAAATATATTGGGCGTTCAATTACTATTTGCGCACGCTCACACACGCCACATCACAACAAGAATTCAAGAGGCCCGTTCCTCTAGTCGGTCGTTTGTCTTGAGTTCTCCGATCAATTACAGGTGAATGTCAAATCAATACCTTAACAAACGGGCCATGGTCCGCGCGCGATCTTTCCTTCTCCATTCCTCTTATCTCCTCTTCCCTTACATACAATTACATGCACTTCACTACCACATGAAACATCAGACGGATGCACAGAGTTGGCTTCCGATAAGGTCGGTTTGCCACTGGGGGAGATACCTGAAGAGAGTAATTACACGCATGCCGATGGTGGTTGGTGCGAATTGGAAGAAACACCGCTACGTCCTGCATACAGCATGAAGTATAGTTTCATATAATAAGTATAAATAAGTAGTGCACCTTAATCAATTATTCAGATGCTCTCGTACAAACATCTGCCACGCACGTGTGAATTTGCGCGTGCGTACACACACACCACGCCTCCCCAAACGACCACGAAGAAGGTCATGGTTGAAGAGTACGGGGACAGTCAGATTAATCGCTCGAATACAGGCCGCTGCGGAAAGGAATTTCTGGTCAAGTGATCCTATTAGGTGGAGACTCAAAACACGTCACATCGAAAGGGCGTCGTGCAGCAACCCAATCTCGAAACCTCTTCCTACCCCATCCTGCGACTCCTTCCCTGCCCGGCATGCACTAGAAAAGCATCCCCTGGACATCCTTCAACTTCTCCCTCCCATAACCTAGTTCAGGGAGCAGTCTACATTAGATTTAACGACGAATACGAGACAATGACTCGTATTCGTCGCGGCGGCGATGGTGAAACGGTTAGCGTACTGGACTGTTGTACCCAAGTTGGCGGGTTCAAACCCGATCGAAGCCGTGGATTTTTAAGGGCGAAAAAATCCTTCGTGCGCCTTCCTTCGGAGGGGAAGTAAAGCCGGCTGTCCCATGTTCGTAGATTTACTTGCATGTAAAAGATCCTCAAGCCTAAATGACGCCTCTGAGCTAAATTCAAAATCGCCTGTTTCTCGCCCAAGAAATACCTCCTTTCTCTCCTAGTTGGTGAAAGGAGCGTAGCGAAATTTGCGTGGTCAGACGGAAGAGCGGGCCTGATGGCCCGAGTCTCGCCACGTAAAATAAGGCAAATTCAATTCAATTCAATGACTGACCTGCAACAGAAATACGAAACACAAAACTACAAAATTCCCTTCCCATTCCACGTCCCATCTGACTCCCCCCCCCCTCAACATCCTTTCCCCTTTCTTCCACCTATCGTTCAGACACCTGTAACAAAATAATCCATCTTTCCTAAACAAAAATAACTCTTCTTCCTATCATCAGGATACCCAATCCCCGTCCCTGTATGGGGGAGACGAGTCTCCAACATAGTTATGAAACTCCTCAGCTAATCCCTCTACATGAAGAGTTTCTATAAAGATACAGACATTGTTGTAAACAATTAACATCTCGTCTTCTGTCCTGCAGCAGCCAAGTTCCTTCTACAGCCATCTGCCGCGCTCACGCCACTTCCATCCCTTCTCAGATACCGGGCATTATAGCAACGTGTAGTCCTCCATGTTATAGTATTAATATTAATAACTATAACTATAAAAAATAAACTCAATAATAAGTATAGGCACTTCCATCAAACGTGAAGGTATCAAAGTAAGAGGCAGACTAATCTCTTTAAATGTGTCCGTCAATCTTCAGATGCCATTAGTCATGTCATAAATAACACAGCTTATTACCATTAAAACTGGTTTTCAGAATAAATCTATAAGAGAAAACATAAATACCTGCTTCATATTAACACGTCTATATGTTTGATTTTTAATTCTGATGTCGACAATTTACAGATTCTAATAACACAATAACTTGCTGAAATATCGGAAGAAAATGATTGCCGAGATTATAGAAAAGACATTTCAACACTCCAAAATTTTTTATTTTTATGAGACATTTAATTGCGATTCAGCAGGATAAAAAGTTCAAAAATTGTATTGTTGAATTTGTTATTGAATAATCAAACAATGAGATCTCATTTACCTACTTGTTAGGTAATATAAAAATCATAAAAAAGCAATAAGTTTTACGATGTAACTGCAGCACTCTATCACAGAGTATTACAAATTTGTGTCTGTAATTTTATTGCGTTGGAAAAACCGGCACCAACAGAAACGTGAAATTAATAACCGTTGCGTGACTTATTCTCCGGTTAAATTACACAACTTGTTACTATTTTCATTTCCTAAACGCCCCTTGCCAATCAATGTTAATCATTCACGTACAGGTGCTTCCAGATGCACAAGGAAACATGGCACGAAAGGGCGATGTAATAGTGAATCAGCTGAAGTGAAAGCGAGCTGGATCGTTGGCGCATTCCATCGGCAATCAGTTACGATCGGGTGCAATCATCGTGCTTGACCCATGAAAGGTTTCGAGCACTGCTCTACTTTCGTCCTGATGTCCGACGCCTCTCGAATGATTCACTGCGTTGAACTTTAGAAACAGGATTCGGCTGCGCGGTTAGTTTCTTTGCACACTCGCTTTTTTTAGCGAGTCATTGTCCTCTGCATTTCGAAGGGTAGCAGTTGAGGAAGGTCAATGTCGTAGCAATAGAATATGGAAATTAGACTTTTATGATTTAGATAAATTTTCAAAAATTAACGAAAGACAGTGATATTTATCTAGTTCAGACAGTTGTATTTATAATTTTCTCCAGTTTCCCCTTTATGTATATATCTTCCTCAAATGTGTTGTACCGCAATGATAATCAATATGTCGAAGTGGTATGAATATACAAGAACAGTATTGTGTATTGACAAGTATTGTGTTGTGTTGAGGAAGAGGAGTTTTGCTTTTAGAATAAAGTACCTGAGCATTGTCTTATTCTTTCTCAAATTGTATCGTTTATTTAGTATTCATCTCATTATCAATGACTTGGAAATACCATGTATGTTGACGATCCAAATAGTACAATTTCTCTTGGCAACATAATTTCATTATAATCAAGACCAGTTATGGTAATTCTAAGAAATTTCATGTCATTTCTCGTATACATTCACTCTTTACTACTCCATATTTCCAAATTATAACAATTTATGTAGCCATCAACCTACAGTTCGAACAAACGACTGCGGTATTTGGTTCCAGATATCTATAAGTACTATATGAGAGTAGGTACTTATAGACATATCGTACAGGCCAACGTGTAACACGGAAACCGGCAATACATTGTCTCATAAGGAAGCAGAAATAAGTCATAAACTCAGCTCCGCGAGAGCCTTTCGAGCAAGCGAATGATTTCCCATCGCGAATTCGATTCTCGCAGCCCCGCCTCGCGCCACGGCGTGTCGTTACGAGTATTTCCGGACCGGGTGTCATAAAGTTGGCGACGACGAGGGGGGGCGGAGTAGAACTTTCATCTCATCTCCAGTTCGGCTCTCGCCTCCTCCTGCCGCGCCCTCCTTGGCTTCCGTACGGCACCAAATTAAAGCGTGGTGGTGTTGGAATGGAGAAGAACGCGTATACAGGGTTTTATTTACAATTAAATAAAAATTTACTGCTTCAAACGTCCACAGAGATGTCCAAGATCAGGCGAAAAAGAAATGGGCATTATAAACTACGTGTTCCAAACATATTTTGTCTTCAGACTTTTTTGAGAAACCCCACTGCGAAGATATAGGCAACTATTATTTCTTGGTACCACGCGCCATTTTCTTTTTAACAGGCTGTTACCCGGTATTAATGTCTAAATACGTTTAACCATTTCTAATTCTGTGATCTTCCTTGAATTTCGTCCTGAGCTAGGTTTCAGCATTATAGCCGATAAGTTGGCACCCGCGCCTAGGACCCGCCGTCTCCCAGACAGACAAGCAGCTAAAGCATTAAGTGTAAATGTAGTGTATGTAACTTTAAATGTGTGTAAGTAAGGGGTGAGAATGAATCATGGAAGAGGAAGGAAAGATCACGCGTGGTCTGTGGCCTGTTTTGATCGGAGAAACCACGAAAAACTACCGATCAAAGCAGCCGGCTGCTAGAATTTTCCTCCATACTGCGACTGAAATCGACCTGGCTAACTAGCTTGTGTAAACATTCCTGCTATCATCAGGATTCAAACCGTAGGAGCTCCCGGTCAAAGGCAGTGCAGTGCCAGCATGAGTCGATGCTCTGAGCAACCGTTGCGGGTATCGAGCGCTGCGTCAGCCGCCTGTGGCGTCGCGAGGCGTCGCGTGTTCCGGGTGCGAGGGGCAGACGGGCGGGCGCTGCCAGCGGCGGGAGGCGGCTTCGCGCCGTCGCTTTCTTTCCGCAGGCGCACGCCAGCGACGTCTTCCGGCCCGCCCGCCCAACGCCCGCCCACCAAATACCCGCCCGGCCGCTCGCCGCCAACACCCACCGCACCTACCCACGCCCGGCCTCTCGCCGAATACCAACCACCCGCTCGTCCTACTCGACCACACCCACCTATCCCACATCCCGACAAACCCGAAGCCCCATGCCGCGCCCTGCCGGCCACAC